TGACTAAAAAAAAAGTTCATTCACCAGTTTTCCAGCAGCAGCATGCAACACAGCTGACAGAAGCTTTCCAGCTGTTCCACTAGCCATACAAGGTTCAGCTGCTTCTCTGAGGAAGCTTAATGGGAGACTACCATCTTGAATCATTGGGCCAACAAGATCTCCCAGGTACTCCCATATCCTTGGGATGTCTATAGCAAAGTCATCTGCATTCTCCAATATAGACTTGAGCCTGTAAGGTCAAATTAATCTTTCTTGCAACGGTTTTTCATAAGTAAAATGAACATAAACATGGTAAATAGTCTACATTTGACTTTTGGGAATTCAAATATCTTTATAAAACATTCAGTCCAAATGGTTATATACACATATTAAAAATGAAGCCAATCAATGATTAACATTTCTGATGCATAATAAAGCATCATATTAGTCAAGTAAAATACAAAAACAAAAAATCTAAAACTAAAGACAAATATTACATACTTTTTTAACACCAAAAATATTTCAATATTCAATATAACTTGGCTAAATAAATATATTTCTGCATTGTAGTCACACATAAAAGATTTTAAAAAGCAGTGACTGCTCACTTTCACTAAAATCCTCCACTGCTGTCCAAAATTAATTGTCATTTAACAAAATAAACATTAACTTAAAGCAGTACATAAAAGTACAGGTCAAAGATCTGAAATGATTATTAAATACTTTCTTTCACAAGAGTTTGTTTGCTGATTTTGAGCATTATTACTTGAGTGCTATCTGAGCTAGCTGTCCCTAATTTAGAAGTGATAAGACTATGAGGGAAGACAGCTAGTCAACACCAACCACCGTCAACTCTTGCGGTATGCTTTACCAACAAAAAGTGGGATTGACATATTATCATAAAGTTCTAGATGGGATAATAATAAAACATAATAGAATGAAAGGTACATTTATATAAAGAGAAAGATACAAATTAATTTAAGTTACTAGTAAGCGTGTAAGATCTGATACACATAGTTCATATCTTAAGCAAAATGCAAGTCTATTGAATACAGATGATCAGCAAAGAAACCTCTACAGTGCACAGCATTAAACATCACTTTTGCTTAGTGCTGGCTTCGTGTAGTAAAAATTGTTTTCTTTTTGTTTAATTTCACACATAACTACTCTAGAGCTGTCTAAGCTTGTCATCCCTAATTTATAAGTGATAAACTAAAGGGAAATATTTTAGTCTTCATCAACAAAAAGTAAGATTTACTGTCACATTATAACACCCTCATGGCTGAAAGGGCAAGCACGTTCAGTGATGGAATTTAAACTCTCAAAATAAAATTTTCCAACCAAATAGTTTCTTGACAGACAAAACTTATGAATTATATATTTTAATAGAAAGACACCAAAAATTCATGTTGCCAAGGGTCAATTTAGGTCTGTTAAATACATATATATTGCTCCTACAATATCACAGCCTATTGACAAAGTTGCCAAAATTAGTTTTAAAAAAAATTAATACCCAAGAGGTCACACAAATCCCTAGTTTTTGTATATTACGATTATATATTGTCATAAGCTGTAGACTATATTTTCAATTTGGATGTTTCCTAGAGGGAGCCATTAATCATGATCATTATGTAATAATTGAGAAACTTCAACTACTATCTAAATTAGTTCATTAGTTATATATACGAGTAATGAGTAATAAAGGAACAGTTAGTTCAGTGATTGAGAATTTGGTTAAATGTTCAAAGTCGAGAAATTGACCAGTTGTTAACTGAGAGAAGATTGATCAGGTAAAGTTATTCAGTAAGAGTTAGAGCTTTTGTAAGCTAATCAAGAAGTTAGTCAGCATTTGTTGTCAGAATGAATGTAGCCTAAATAAATGAATTCATCATCATTGCGTGAACTGGACTTAGCATTACTTTCACCAGATGAACAAAATTATATTATATGCTACAACAATATAATGGCTTGATTTATACACACAAAAAAATATCACAACTTGTCTTCAATTTACTGATGACGGTGTTCCATTCAACTGGATTACTGAGCTTGTATAATATCGATAACTCCTGACAAAGCTGTAAGAGCAAAATATTGAGCTAATAAAGATGCATTCTGGAGATATAGGTCATTATTTTATTTACCTTAATATCATATACTGTTTTATCAATTCTTCCCTATAACTGTTTAAGATATATATTACATGAAACTTTCGGTATGTCCTTAATCAGTTTCTATGCTGTAATTAAAGAGTTTAACATGACAGGTATTAAAAACAGCCCAACAAAATGTATTTCTTACCCTTTAATATACATCTCTGCAGGAAGAATTTTGCTACGAACCAAATCATGAAGAAGTTGACCAACCAAGTGACGAGCCTGACTAGAACGCTCCAAGACTTGGTTGATGGCAGCAGAAATAAAGAAGCAGGAAGTAGAAGGTGATACTAGTTCAATAACACAATGTGTTGCTTCCTACACAGCAAAAGGTATTCATTTAGTACAGTCAGTTTTATTCTTTCTTTTTAAAAAATCTAAAAAATAGACACCAATTTCAATATAAATGATTTTATTCATAGAACTGGTTCATAATATAACTTATTTAAAAATAGAACTGAGAAAACAATAAAGTAAGTTTTCTTGAAATTTTTAACAATTTTAAGCTAAAGTATGGAGTTTCTAATAACTCATTAAAAATTGCAAGAAAAATGTTTCCAAAACATCATAAAAAGAAAAACCCTTTTGTTTGAGTTTTTTTTTTTTTGTCAAACTGTTAAATACAGTATTAAATCAAAGATTCTCATTTTTAATCAACTGACAAAGTAAACAGCTTCGAAGAAAAGGAACAAAAGTTATATTTTAATTCGACTACTAATTTCAACCTATCTTTATTGGTTAATTTGTGATTATAGTTTTCCAGCAAATAAGAGTCAATGCTTTATAAGAGTATCATAACAAAAACTATCTTAATTGTGTTCAGATTGATTTCTACCATTATTGTCAAATAAACTAAAACTTTGACCTACATTTTTCAGGTGAAAAGCTTCAACTTGTAGTATTAGGTCATCAAGAAAGTAATCACGCTTTTTTTTTAGATGAAAAAACCCGAACAACTTACATATCAAGACCAAACATTTATTAAATGAAATAGTCTCCATTCTTATCGATGATGCTTTTCCATCTTACAATCAGGTTGTTAATAACCCTAATTAAAGAAATCACTTGGCTTTGAAGCAAGAAACATGTCGATGTCCTCTTTAACACATTCCACATTTACATACGTTTTCCCATTAAGATGGTGTTGCAGGGAACGTAAAAGTTGGTAATCTGATGGTGCCATACCTGGAGAATATGGTGGGTGGGGGAGAACTTCCCAACTCAACTTCATAACCTTGTGTTGCATCAAACCTTCCACATGTGATTGATGAGTGAAAGGCATTTCTGATGAAAGACTTGATTTAAATGTTCCAGTTGCTGACTATAGATCTCTGCATTGACAGTTTGCTGTGGATTGAGGAGTTCCAAATGAATGACTCCCTTGGTGTCCCACCAAATGCAAAGAATCACTTTTTGGGGATGAAGTCCAGGTTTTGGGGTCGGAAGGTTTTTTTTTGTCTAGGACTAAGCCATTGTTTTTGGTATTTAATATTCACATAGAGAATCCATTTTTCATCACTGGTGACAATTCTGTCCAAAAATGGTTCACATGCATTATGCGCCAGATAAGATGAAGCAACATTCACATGTTAGAAACGATGATCATCGGAGAGTTCACGAGGCACCCAAACACCTTCTTTATGGAGTTTTCCCATATTCCTTAGATGT